AATTTCTAGACATCTTAGAACCACAAAACAAACAAGAAATAGAAAGAATATAGAGGTCCCTAGAAAGGACCCCCCAAAATGAAAACTCCATAAACATTACAGCACAAATCCTCAGTTAACAGGTCAAAGAAAAAGTATTGCCAGCAGCCTGTAAAGGAAGTATGCAAGTATCAAATAGCCACAGTGAGGAATACACGTGATTTTTAACCATTCCCCTAAAAGAGTTGAGAATTCAAAATACGATATTTCAGAGCACAGAATATAAGCTTATGAGAAAAGGAACTTACCCCAGCCGAATAGTATAATCTCACAGGGGAAGACATGGACTTTTATTGAAATGGAAGACTTTCAAACATTCCTAATAAAAAGCCTAGAGCTGCATAGAAGCTTTGAAGTGTAAGCAAAGCATTCAACAGAAAGCAGCCCAAGCTCCCAGGTGGAAGCTTATCTAAATCCATTTCTGAGGCTAGAGCCCCATCTGTGAGCCACTCCTAAGCATCATCATGAAAACACAGAGACCTAAAGGAGAGTAATAAGATGGAAAGTGGGTGCCAACAGGGGGAGATGGATGGATTCTGCTGCTCCCAAGGATTTTCTTCTTAGTGAATGGGAGACCTCAGCCTAAGAATAGACCCTGTGGAGACAGACAAGACCACTGGAGAAGGAAGAAGAGTTGTTTTGACTTTTATGGACCTAGCCAATCTAACCAGCATTTATTAAGTGTGTGCTGTGAATCAGACAGGCACTGAGATCAAGTATAAATCCTTTGTATTTTGCATTTTTCATCAGGTAACAATAAAGGCTGTCCTATGTTTGCTTTGTTATTAGCCTGATTGCTCACATGCAAGCTTAAGGAACTTTAAGATTCATTTGTGAAGAATTAAAAGCCAAATTCTGACGTCCTTTGTGGAAAGCATGGTTAGGTGGCAAAAGTTGCTCTGGGAGGCAGAATTGTATTCTGGAAAGAACTGTAGCTGCTATGGAGTCAGAGGACCTGGTTTCATATGCTACCTCTGATGCATAGTACCTGTGTGACACTGGGCAACAATTTAATCTTATTGGGCCTCAGTTTCTTCTCACCTGGCTAGGAGGAGATCAGTGAGGTCACCACAGTGCCTGAGATGGTGTTTCTTCCCTTTCCTGATGCATGTCCCATTTGTTTTATGTGTCTTCTTGTGCATAATGTCATGCAGTCAGCAATCTATATTGCTATTTTTCTGGCTCTGACTGTGCCTGTCTCTGTCTCTGCATCTCTATGGCTGTCTTTTTGCTCTTTGTCTCTCAATATATACAATATGCACAGTGACTGTGTGTACACATGTATGCATTTGTGGGCATCTCCTGATATTTTATATGCCCTGCTGATGTCAATCTGCACCTGGCTGGCAGTCCAAGATAAAATGGGGAAGAAGCCTTCCCCTCCTCCTGGCCTAGGAATCATAATGGAGACCTGATAAGGAGGTAGCCTGAGTGCTAGCAACTCAGGATTGCAGGTATCCCTGGCAACGACCAGTCACCATGGCAACCAGTGATTAAAACTAGCTGTGACTGCCTTACTATCCACTGAATTTTGGCTTTAGAAAGATTATACTTCACCAAAGATGTGGTGGGTAACATGATTTGGATTTCCATCCTACTCTCTGCTATTTGAACAGGCCATCCTGAGGCCCAAAAAGACCAAGCCTTTTCACACAGAGGGTTTCAGTGCCTGTTTATGCTTTCTCATTTACATTGATGAAATGGTTTACTTCATCAATAAATTGCAGTGACTGAGCCAAACTAGCTAGCATCTGTCACTAATGCAATGGTAGGGGGTTCAGCTCTGCTGGACTTTCAATGCTACATTTGTGTTACTTGTCAACTGAAAAATTCCTTTGTGTGTTTTTTTTTAATTTAGTTATTACCAAAAATCACTGGGAGGAGGGTTTCCCTCCAGAAAGACTACATTTGCACCATACACATCCCAGGTTTTGCTAGAGGTCAGATGGTGGGAGGAAGGATTTGGTCTTAGTTAGCTTTGAAGGATCAAAGATCATAAGCAACTGTATCAATAGACTTGACTTCAGTTCCATTCCCTAATTGGGAAGATCTCCAGCATAAACTGTGTGAGCTTAGGCAAACACACTCCCAAAAATGGTATTCAATGTTTTGAAAACCCTCCCAGCTCTGTTTGTCATAAGATGGGTACCCATCAAATGTGGCCTGTCTATATATAGTCTGAGGTCCCCTTGGAACAGTGACATTCTGGGTTGCAAGGTGCTTTTCAGCTCTGGCATTCTATTCTGTTAATATGATCCTTCCAATCTCTGATGTTTTGTGTACCAATGTCCTTTCTAGGTCTGACATTCCATATTCTCTGATCTCTGGGTCCTCCCGTATTTCACATTCTGTGATCTAAGGATGTATCTAAGGATAACACATCTAAGGATGTGTTATCTAAGTGTAACACCACCTTACAATTAAGAGCTCATTTTGAAAGTGAACCTAGGGCTAAGATAATGCCCTGGACTGTTATTGAAAGGAAGGACTTCCAAACATTCCTGATGAAAAGCCTAGAGGTACATAGAAGCTTTGAAGTATAAAAACAGCATGCAACAGAATGCAGCTCAAGCTCCCAGGTGGAAGCTTGTCTAAATCCAATTTCTGGGGCTAGAGCCATCAATGAGTCACTCTCAAGCATTATCATGCTAACATAGAGACATAAGGAGAATAATAAGGTGGAAGGAGGACCCCAGCAGAGGGAGAGTAGTGGATTCTGCTGATCTCAAGGGCTTTTTCTTTTTCTTTTTTAATAAATTTATTTTTCACAACAGGACTAGTATGGAAGTGTTTTGCATGACTACACATCTGTAACCTGTACCGAGATGCTTGCCTTTTCAATGAGGGTGGGTGGGGAGGGAGGAAGAGAGAAAATTTGCAACCCAAAGTTTTAAAAACAAATGTTAAAAATTAAAAAATTAAAAATTATAAAAAATTTTTAAAAAATTATTTTAAAAAAGCCTAGGGCTGCATGTGTGTGTTTATTTCTGTCAAAGCTGGTGAACATCCATATAGACATATACATGAGAGTTCATTGGCAAAATAAGCTCAAAGGAAGGCCAGTTGAGGAAGACTTTATATCCTTAGAGCAAGGAAGTGTTTCCTTCTCCCTTCCTTCCTGGCTCAGGATACCTGTGCCAGAAGCCTGTGGGCAGGTTCCCCATGGAGTTAGGGGTTTTGGGAATCTTCCATTAGGACTGTGGCATTAAGTGGATGTCAAACCAAGCCCCTCAACTCCCAGATTTGGACCAGCCTTGGACACATAGTTAGCAGGGTGAACCTTAGTAAAATTCATGCCTTCCCTGAATGAGTTTCTTCTATTTGTGAAATAAGGGGGATGACCCCTAGCTGCTTCACTCAGACCCCTACTTGAACATTTTTTTTGTGACTTGAAGCTGATAGGCTAGACAAGGTGACTTTCCTACCCTCAGAGCACTCCCAGTCTAGTGAAGGAAAAGTAGTGCCTTGGACATGTCCAATATGGTAGTGGTGGCAAAGCCTTGGTAAAAAAGGGCAAGCCCTGGAGAGGCAGGGGTCAAGAACAGCTTGGTGGAGGTGGGCTAGGTGATGGTTGGCCTTTCATTGATTGGAAGGAAGCTGAAAATTTTCCACAAAACAGAGGTGAGGATTTTCAGCTATGGTGGCTCGGAGAATCAAGGTGGGAAAGGAAGCCCCAATAATTCTTTAACCAGAGCTTATGTGCCCTTTCCCTTCCTGCCCTAGGCAGGGCAGTGGGTTTCTGCCCATCCTGGAAAGAGGGCTTCTCCCCTAACCTGCACACATGAGCCTCATGGACATCTACCACTAATGTTGTCTCTTTCTGCAAACAGCCTGAAGAGGCCAGAAACAGGAGCCAAATCCAATTGTTTGTCAAAATGAGGCCAGCATTATGGGAGAGCAGCTTCACCAGGAAGGCTATAAGCACTTCATCAACAAGCCCAAACTGTTTGGAGCAAATACTGTCGTTAATAGAAATCCAAAAGAAAACATAACACAGAAAGTTGTGTCCTGCTTTAAACACACTCCAATCTGACCTGTTCACTGTGTTAGTAATCATTGAACATGGGATGGGATGGAAATTAGGATATACATACTCATACACACAGAAACACTGAAACACACTGAAGGTCCCACACTTACACACACACACACACACACACACACACATACATACACACACACATGCTTGTCCGGTACAAACATTTAAAAAAAATAATCTATATCAATTAGTAATCATGGTGAGAACACAAAATGGTCTTGTTAACAAAAAACCTTATCACATGTCCATGAGACATATCTTGCAACTGGATTTATTATAAGAGAAATAAACATGTATGTGGAACCCTAAGCAAGAGCAAAGACTTCACAATGCAGACAGAAGCTAGCATATTTATAGCTTTCTGTCTGTTGACCATTATGCTGGTGAAGTGTTTCTTTCTCTTAACCTTTGTAGATCCTTCCCAGGTGGAATTCATGGCAGTGTTTTACCAAATCCACTCTCCATGATGTCTGTGTACCCAGGAATCACCTTTGACTAACAGGTAGGGAAAGAAACAAAGAAAGAAACACTTCAAAAGCATCATAGTCAACTGAGGGAAAGCTAACAAGGGTCCTTGGGCACTTTTACCTCTAGGGGTGCTGCAGAATAGAATCGATTACAAAATGAGATTAGAGTCATTAACCAAGCACAATACAAGTCAGAGTAAAAATGTTCAATATCAGGGGTTAATCCAGAGGAGAAAAACATATGACACCAAGATAATCCAGAGAATTTAGCGTACAAATGCAGAAAATAGAAAAATAAAGGGGTATAATAATGGACATCAAAATTTTTCTTTTTTTAATAATCATATTTCATTTTCCCTAATTACATATTAAAACAATTTTAGACACTTTTTAAAAAGTTGTGAGTTCCATATTCTATCCCTCCCTCCCTTCCTATCACCCCTCCCTGAGACAGTAAGCAATTTAATATAGTGTAAACATGTGCAATCATGTAAAACATTTAATGGACATCAATATTAACAAAAAATTGTCTCCTTGCAATTTAGTACTCCTTCCCAATATCCATTCAATCAGTCCATTTCACACTGAATCTCAGACATCCATACAGTTGTCTGGTCCCTGGCACATCTTTCCTTGGAGCAGTCTGGAAAATAGCATGTCTTCAAGGGCACCACTTCATTGGGTTTCCTTTATCATTTGAAGTTACTGGTAGAGACTCCTCAGATGTTCCTGTTGTTAACCTCTAGAGAGTTCCTTCTAAGAAAGACAAACAAAATTAGGCTGCATGTGCATGTTTATTTCTCTCAAAGCTGGTGAACATCCATATAGACATATGCATGAGAGTTCATTGGCAAAATGAGCTCAAAGGAAGGCCAGTTGAAGAAGACTTAATATCCTTAGAGCAAGGAAGTGTTTCCTTCTCCCTCCCTTCCTGGCTCAGGATACCTGTGTCAGCCAAAATTTTAATTCCAGGATGTCTGTGTTTCTGCTAGCATAAACATAACATAAAATAACAGCAAGAAAGAGGGATGCCATTACTCAAGATAGTGACTAACAAAGGAGGGTCATAAAACTTAAGGGAAATTTCAGATGGGCCAGGTCCTTAGCAGAAAAATGTTCCCAGTCAACAAAATCCAGCAGGAGAGCTTGGGTTCACTCAGAGAGCATGTCTGTTATGCCACAGCAGGCAAAGCATTATGGTAGGTTAAGCTCTGAGTTGGCAAAAAATGTCTTTCTCCTGATTGGTCAATCCAGGTTTTAGGCCCTTCTCGGATGAAGGGGGTTCAAGCTGGTTTGGGAAGGGGGCAAGCTGGTTTACACTGCCAAAATCTCTTACAAAATAGATCTCAGTGCAAGTTGGCACACACTCTCAAAATTTACTTCTCCAATAACTAGTTTATGTTGTGAAAACCAGTTCAAACTGTATAGTTCTGATCTTATTAACAATAGAGCTATAAGAGGAACAGCAAATTAGGATCCCATAGAGAATTTAGGTTATAAATACACCATGCTGTTTCCATCTTCATCTAAACTCTGTACCTGACATAAATACTGTTAAGAACAAGCTAAAGGGTTATTGTTACATTGATCTATGTAACATATTCAGATACAAAGGAAATATGTAAATACCACAGAAGGCAGAACTCTTATGCCTTTCTGAGTTACATGTGTATTTGTTTGATCGCATTGTTTTCTCAGTGATTTACTCAATTTTTTTTACTATACAATTTTTACCTAACTGTTAATTATTTTACAACTCAAAATTTCAATTCCACTTAATTTAAATTAATTCCAATTCTGTTTAATTCAGTTATTCAGTTCTCCCTTAGGAGAGGTAGAGACAGATAAGGATTTAATCCTCACATAAAAAATTGATGTTATAGAATACTTTTTATAAGAAGATAACATTTCAGAATTCATACACACATATAGATTTTACTTAAACTCTCAAGAGTGCCTTCAGAAACATCTGCTTGACTTGAGAAGTGGGGAGATCAAGCAGACAATGGCAAAATAGGCTGAGAAGCTGAAGGCAAATCTCATGGAAAGAGATGGTGGAAATTTGAACATATCTCCTCACAGATGAGCATTCCTATCTTCCATGTGTATTTTGACATATATGAGGACTCACTTTTTCTCTCACTCTATCCATATATCCAAATATCAATATATTCTCTATGTATTTGTATGCATGAATATCATTCCATACTCCCTTGCTGTTTATATTTTAATCCTCATATAGTCTCTCTATAAAGGAATCAATATATATATGGGTTCCCTTTATATTCTATAATATATATACATATATACATATATATACACATATATACATATGCACACACATGAGTTACCATTTATTCAGTGTATACAAATATATTATACTGTCTGTGGTGACTCATATATATGATTATTCATATATCCTCTCTATATGTTGGTATACATGATTATTCATAAACCCTTTCTATATTCCTATATGAGTATTTTTGTGAGTGGTCATTCATTCCATGTTTTCCTACTTACAGAGACCCTTATTCTCTGTCTATATGCCTATAAGAATACTGATAAACTCTATTTATATATAGGCAAAAATCTTCATATATTCTTTCACATGAAGACAAAAAGTGGAATGCTTTTTGGAATATAGAGAGCATATAGGAGACCTAATATATGTGAACAGAGAGAGTATATATGTATATAGATATGTATAGAGAAAATATGGGTTCTCAAATATGAATAGAGAGTGAATATGTGAGTACTCATATACGTAGGAATGGAGGGAATGATTACTAATATTCATGAGGAGATAGAGTTACTTCATACAAGTGAATTTCTAGAAAGAACAAATGAGTTCATGTACATAGCAATGAAAAGAAAGAATCTGTGTATTTATATATATGATATATTCTGTCTTCATATATATGAGTTGTCTTATATTATCTATATATTTGGTTACATACATATGAATGTATGTATTTATAGGAGAGAAGCTCTGTAGTCTTATATGTGAACACATATACATGAAGATACACGAAATATGAAATACACAAGTTTTTTCCTATATATTGGATGATATAAGCATATATAAATATAATCCTATATATGTAGCATTGAAAAATGGTACATTCAGTACTCATAAAGAGGAATAGAGAAAGAGAATAGAAGATTACTCCCTGGTGTGAATACACAGAGCAAAACTTTGAGCATTCATGAATAAGAATACACAAAGCCCCGTGGTTTTGAAGAGGGGTACAGAGGGCCTTCTGGACAGACAGCAGAGGGTTGCTGGGCATCAGTCCTGGTCCCTTGGGTCCTCTCCCTCCATGCTAGGCTGGAACGGAAACAATCAGGTAATCCTGCTGGCAGCTCAAGCCACTTGCAGCAGTGGGGGAGGAGAAAATAAGCCAGAGGAGGTGTTTAGGGAAGGGAGAAATGAGCCACAGAGGGTGTTTAGGAGAGAGAGAGATGTCAGGTGGGAACCAGTGGAGGAAGGAGCAGGGTCGTCGGGTGAGGGACTCCTGCCTTATCAAGGTGGGCACTGACATCACCGGCTGTCAGCACTCATCAGAGAGGAAGGGAAAGGGGGTTGTCCACATTGCCCAGAGTCAGCTCTTCTTGGCTGGTGGCTCCCTGAACACCCCAAGGGCTGGGAGTGGATATCTGAGAGGCAAGAGAGGCTGGGGGACTGACCCAAAGTCCACCTGAGTGAGGCCCAGGTTCCTGAGCATGGGAGATAAGGGGCCAAGATACATAAGCCCCAGGCCACAGGACTCCTGCCCATGGTAGGGAAATGGTACCCAACTGGTCCCTACAGGACCTTGGCCTTCCACTCCTCTGAGATCTGAGATCTGACAATTCATGTGAAATGGGATGGAGGGCAGTACCTCTAGTTCAGGAGGCAGGTCCAGGAAGAACCATGGGCTTTATTCCAGATTTTAGGTTTAGAATAGGACAGATGTTGCTGATTGGGGGCTGCCACAAGGGAAAGCATTAGACTAGCAGGGTTTTTTGGGATGAGGGGGTTATATGGATATGATGGAGGAGTCTGAATGGACTTATAAGTTAGAATAAGATGGACACCTCAGAAGTCATCTGAGTCAACCTCCTCATTTGAGAGAAGAGAAACTGAGTTCAAGAGGAGGGCGGTGACATGACCAAGGTCACAGAGCCAGTAAGAGCAGACCCAGGCCTTAAGGCCAGGTCTCTCTTGCTGGCCATGCTAGCTGGTTTCCATCTTGGCCTCTTCCTCCTCTGACAGTCAAACTTCAGGGGTGGAAGGGCCTTGAAGGAAAGACACTCCCCAGAAGCTTGTGGGCAGATTACCCAAAGAGGGATTTGGGGAGTCTTCAGTTATGTCTGTGAGGTTAAGTAAAAAGTATACTGAGCCCTCCCTAACTTTTGGTCAGCCTGGGATACACAGTTAGCAGGGTGAGCCTGAGAAAATCCCATGCCTTCCCTGAATCAGCTTCTTCCATTTGGGAAACAAAGGGATGACCCCTAGCTGGTTCAAATCAGAGCCCTACTTGAACATTTTCCTGGGACTTAGAAATTTTAGCTAAAGCAAGGTCTTCAGTGAACTCCTGGTTTGATGAGTGATTTGGATATGCGGTATATGGTAGCAGCAGCTACAACTTTGCCAAAGAATGCAAGCCTTTTAGAGGTGGGGAACAAGAACAGCCTGGAGAAAGTGGGATTTGTTGCACTTGAGCTTTCATTGATGTCATGGAAGGTGCAGATTATGGACAGAACAGAGGTATGAATTTTCAGTTGTGCAAAGGGACCTGCTAAGGCTGCAGAAGGGGGCTCTGGAAATCAGGGTGGGAAAGGAAGTCCAAATAACCCCTTGATCTGAGCTCACATGCTCTTTTATTTCCCACCCTGGACAACTCAATGGGATTCTGCCCACAAGGGAAAGAGAACTTCTCGCCCAATCTGCATAGATCAGCCTCATGGACATCTATCACTAAGACTGTAAGACTGTCTCCTACTGCAAACAGCCTGAAGAGACCTGAAGTAGAAGCCAGATCCAATTGTTTGTCAAAGTGAGGCCAGGAAAATAAGAGAACAATTTCACCAGGATTGCTATAAACACTTAATCTATAGGCCCAAACTGATCAGAACAAATAGTATACTTAATAGGAATCCAAAGGAAGGCACAACAGAGAAAGATGTAGCCTACATTAAAACACACTCCAGTCTGACCTATTCCAAGGTGTTAGCAATGCTTGAACAAAGAGTGGAATGGAGGCTAGTATATAATACACACACACTCACAGAAACACTCACTCCCAACCTTACACATACACACTCATGAACCCCCAATACAATCATTTGATAAAGAATTTTCATCAACATCAACTAGTAATCATGGTGAGGAGACAAAAGAGGGTCTTAGAAGTGCCTTCAGAAATATCTGATTGACTTAGTACATGGAGAGATAGGACAGCCAAAGGCAAAAGAGGCTGAGAACTTTATCTCCTAAGAAAAATCTTATGGCAAAGGATTGAGAAGGGAATTTATAATTTTCATGTTAATCTATATGATATGTGTAATGAATATAATAATAATTTCATTTTCTCAAGAGCTGCCTCTCTGGCTCTGGAGTCAGAGGTCACAATGCAGTTTAAACTGATTAATCAAAACTCTGACAATGTTCATAATCACTGGACCTTAAGTGAAGTGAATTAAAGAGTATAGACCCTATTCTTGTCACAGAACTCTAGTTCTCTACTCTAAGAGAGGTGGTCACAACCCCCAAA